AACTGTTTTATTGAAACCCCTGCTATTTGTCACATAGTCAGCAAACCATCTGTCCAATTACAGGTGACCAATGACACCTTTTTGTAATTTGATACTTGTAATTGGACAACTACACCATTTGTGTGTCAATTATGTGAACTTAAATGGTTTCCTCCTTGATGTTTCCCTAATGATTGTAAAACTCAAGGAAAATACTACTGACTTTTTCATGAGTTCTAAGACTTCTTAATCTGAAAATTTGTTAATGGTATGTAGATCATTTAATAATTAGACCTTGTGCAGTATTGTAACTTGCCTCATGCTGTGTGCTTGTCTGACTTTGAAATTAATTGCTCCATTACTTCCTAAATTGTACTCCACTTGATTTGATTACTATTACTAATCTGTATCTACACATAGTGTACATACTTTACATGTATATCGTTTGCTCTATTTTCCAGTTTTGTACCACAAGGTTACTTTCTCTATTAAATTTGAATGTAATGTGATAATTATTATAATCGTCCACTTCTTCCATCTGACACTGCTCCCCAAATGTCAAATACAAAGTCATCAGGGAACTGGAAGTCAGAAAATTCTTCATCCACAGCAACAGCAAAATCACTTGGATTAGAAAGTGACTTACCCTTCATCACCAGTGTCTCAGCTAAGAAACAAAAACGGATTATCTTGAGCATGATTATAAATAAAATACTGAATTTATCTCTGTTCATTCACACAACAAACTGTTTTGCTTCAATTTTCCTTTGCAAAGAAAGAGAAAAAGGGAATTCACCAGGCAATGATCTTATAAACACAGATAGAGACATCGCTTGGTTGATCACAACCTCTTATGAGTAGCCACAGAAATGAAAAAACAATCACAGAATGGAAGAAACGGTGACAGCACATTTTAAGCATCACAGCAACACTAGAAATATGATCAATCAATCAATCAAAAAGAATTTTAAAAGCATCAAAGTTTACCTAGCTGAGGGGAAACACCCCTCTACTAATATTGGGGACATTTAATATAGAAGCCTACTATTAACACAAACTGTATACAATGCTGATGTTATATCCCCAGCAGGGGACTCCCATATGAAAAGGTCAGGGATGCTCATCAGAAAATTTAAAGTAAACCCTAAAAGGAGACCAATCTGGGCGTGGCTTGAACTTTATTTGACTCCTAAAAGAAGTCACTTAAGGTCATTCCCCAGTATTGCATTGTGCATCCCTACTGCGCATAATTTCACGCATGATTAGCGCGTGTGCATAAAAAAATGGCGGGTTTTTCTTTACGGCTGGACCTCGCCACAGAGGTAAATCGTCATTTTCTCGCAAATGAGTATGGTTACCTACCATTTTTTTTCCTGTTGTTTTGAATTCAGTAATAAATTTCTCTGTGTAAAATAAATATGGACCAATTCTCAGGGTAGAACAAAAAACAATTGTCAGAAACATGAATTTAGCAAGCAATCATGACTACAATGATGGTGCTATTATAAGGATTTATTGGGTATATACAAGGTGCTGCTGCTCCTAAACCAACATGGGGACCCCTCATTTTTATTTCAAAATTTAAGTTCCTATAATATAAACAATCAATAGGCAAAGTTTCACAAAATCTCGGTGCAGGTTCTATTTCAGTGGAGTGACCTCAAAAAGGACTAGGCTTGATTACCAGCCGCTGTTCAGGAAAGGAGCCCATGCTAGTAGACCGAAATTGAGAGACTGGTGGAAATCTAGCCTATAACCAGAGATAAAAGTGTTTTTTAGCTATTATTTCTTCGAGTTGACCCTAGAAGATACTTTGAGGGCTAAAAACAGTGGTCTTTTGTCATGAACACCCTAAGTGAGACCAGAATTATTGATTTATACCCCTAAGCAAGACGACAAGCATCCCTGACCTTTTAATATGGGAGTCCCCCATTCCCCCCCCCCGCCCCGATATACCTTTTTTGGAACTATACGATCAGCAAATCAGCATACCATAGTTACATAATTATCTTTTCTATAATCAATGTATCATCCATAAAGTGTAAAAATATCACTACATCATTCCTGCGCTACTATTTTAATCACATGTTAATACAGACTGATTGTTAAGGTATCACTTCACAAAAGAGATAATGTAAAATCACATTACTTGGGTAAGATTTCCACATGATGACATCAGTCTTGGATATAAGTACATGTAGTAAATGTGGAGTGACTTTCAGCCTTGGTGATAAGTGAAACTGGGATCATGTCAATTTAATTTTCTTGAACTTCAGTAATTAAAATTACACTAAATAACTTTTAAAATATTTCATTATCTTTAATTTTCAACAGTATACCTAAATCTGGATCCCTTATTCCAAGGAAGCTTTCCAACAAGTCATCTATTTTCTGAGCAGCTTTGACTTCCCATGCTGGGGCCTACAGATTAAAGATGGTTGATTTTATAAAGTCAAGTTAGCCACACAGCTATCTTAGGATATTTCATTTTAACACACTCAATTGCCTGATAGCAGAATGATATTGTTTATTCTCAAAACTTTTAAAACAATATAGTCTCCTCCCATGGAAAGCATAACCCTTAACAAACAAAAAACATCATGTGATATGACCACATGATAAAATTACTGTGGAAAATTGGTAGTTTTCTTTACAGTTCTGAGCTCTGATGTGATTACAAAATTTAATGTTACCAAAATGCAGAACAATACCTCTTCAGTGTCAACAACAGGTGGACCCTTGGATCGCAGTCGAAGAGTTGCCTTTCCACTTCCCACTGCATTAGCAGCTGCTGGGGATTCAGCCACAGAACTTGCTCCACGACTTGCTGTTCTTGGGCCAATACCCTCTGCAAAATAATCACAAGAATTCTGGACATGTTTCTGTAAAGAGACAAGGAACTCCTTCAAACATATTTAAAATCTTAAGGCTGTGTCCTGGGTCTGTTTCTTTTGTATTGAAAAATGTTAACTTCACTTCACAAATTGTACACCAAGAGGCCTGAAAAAGTCTGCTGGGCCTTAAAAACTCCTTCAATTACCCGGGGTAAGAAAGACTACACCGTTTTTTACTCCTGAGCTAATTATTATTATAGCAGAGCCCCATACTCATATAGGAAAGAAAAGGGAACCCATGAGTTGATTTTCTCATGGTTATCATGGCTAGCGGTATTGCTCGTGGGTGCGTACGCACGACGACGGCAATGACGGTGACGACGGAGTCATGCAACATGGCGGCCATACTCCAAAGTAATAGGTTGACAGAGACATGCACTCTTGGTTTACCGTGCACTCCTTTGATATTGGACATCCATGTTATGATCAATTGACACCTGTCAAAGCAAGGTATCTGCTGACCAGTATCATGTGACCATATCACGGGCTCAAGATTACAGCTCATTAAGGTGAAGTACTTTTCTGAAGTTGACCGCTGACCAAGTGCTGGCTTTTTCGATTGGATTG